CATAAATAATCTTCAAAATAATTTAAACAACCTTAAAGATACTTTTACAAGTATGTAATATATTATTATTATTATTATTGGATTTTAAAGTTTTACACAATTTATACACAACAACAACATAATATTTTGTATTAAACATTATTATTGCAATAAAAAATAAACTAGCTTTACCAAAAAGGTAAATATGATCATATACCTAGGTTAATTTTCATCAAATTTAAATAAATTATTATTTTATTTATAGGTATATTATATGTTTACACACTTTCTAAATTGTAATTTATTTACAAAATGGATATGAGAAAAAGTTAAAGAATAAAAATAATACATTAACTATTTATTATAACAATATATTATACATTTAAAATGTATATACATGTATTACCGTATTACATAAAATAAAGGTGATAAATTATGACTGCTCATTTTCTTGTGGGTTGATCTAAAAATTCGCAGAACTTATTTCATCAACCCTATTTTTTCCTTGAATAACGAATTTATTTAAATTCTGATTTTTATATTTTTTTAAATATACGCTCAAAGTTAATTTTTTCAAATTCTTGAATTTTTTTTGTACCACTTAAAGAGTGAATTGTGATTTGTGGCTGTACAAACGTGTGTTTTTCAAATTAAAACCCCCCTCTTTACTGTTAATTAGTGTTTAAATAATCTTTTAGTATATTTAAAAATCAAAAAAATCAGATTTTTAGTACCTAATTGCATTATTAAAGGAAAAAAGCTTCGACCGTGTTTGGTGAATCGTCCTGTATATTGTATTAGTGCTTTTTAGAGTACTCCACACCCTCGTGTTGTGTCTGTCTCACAATAGAACAACATGGATTGCGTTCAGTAGAATCAATTTTATGTATTTTATATATATCCAATATTAGAGTTAATTGACCTAACCTAACTTAAAAGTAAGAGCTATGGCTAATAGGTATTGGTTTTTTCTAATTGTTTGAATTTGAAAATCTAAACTATAATATTGTCATCATTTTTTTTGTGCTTTGGGTTTTCACTATAGGTATTTCAGTTTTTAAGCAAAAACTAGCATTTTTATATTTTAAAAAGTAACATATTCAGCATTTGTTCGAAAATTTAAATATTGTAGAAAACCAAAATACTAACACAGCAAATCCTCTTCCCTTTAAATTGTACAGGTTAATTTCATTAAATCAAAATTTCACACAAAATTGGTTATACCGAACTCAAATCTGAAATGTACGACAGAGACAACATATTATGGATCCTATTAACTCGCAGCAAACCGTTAATAGTACATAATATGCAAATAGGACAATAGGTATATCCTTTTGAGAATAGAGGTTCTCCTCAAGTTTGAAAAATAAAATCAAGGAAGAAACATCACAAACCAATTTCCATCAAATTACAATAAAATGTAATTAAACTCCGTAAATATAACACATAATATGTAATAATGTAAGTGATATTTTTGTCATGTTAATTTGAAATGTCGAATTAATTAAATACGATTGTCAAAAATGTTTTTGGCTAATAGTCAAAAAAATATATAATAATATCGTAGTTCATTAAATTAAATTCATAATGAAACGTTACTATTCAACAACAACGTTGCCCTTGGAAGCATATACATATATTTTACGTTGTATTGTTTTACGATATATCACCTATTAGTATTCAAATGCTCGATTGTATAGTTACAAAACTTATTATAATAGTATAAGGCTTATAAATTGAAAACGATGTTAAAAATATTTATATAGAACATAATGTGATTATATTATGAACAAATATTAATATTTAATACGCTCCAATTAGTTCTAAATTATGCTTTATAAATCATTTAACATCAAGATTATAAAGTTTCAAATTGTATAACATCAAATCATGTTTCACTGTTTTACAAATCAAAATCATAATTATACTTTTAGTGTTAATTTAAATCTCTTTGACAATTTATTAAGCCTGTAATAGAATAGCCGATAATTTGATTGCGCGTTTTAAAATGTAGACAATTTGCTATTCGGTAATTATTATTTTAACACGTTTTTGAAATAACACATTGAAATTTTTAATCGGTGTAATAACTGCTATAGTGAGGTTAGGTTACAAAAAGTAAGCAAATAATACAAATAATAATATAGTTGAACTATATATTATATAATATACTCACAGCAGTAAAAAATATTAAAATGTACAATGACATAGAATTCTTTATAAATATTTATTCCATATGTACTTGTATAATGGAAGTTTTCATGTAGACAATAACAATACGAAACTTAACGTACGAAATGATATTTCACTTTCTTAATATACAACAAACAATAATGTAGTAGAATAATGTTGTAGATTTTAAATAGATTACAAACTTTCCAATAATATGTCTATAACAAAATTAAAAAATTATATTTTATAATATTAGGTCTAAGATCTAACTGTCGAAGCAGATACAAAATATGTGGAATGATGCAATATATTACAACGGAATAAGGTTTAGGTATAGGTACTCAACAGTTCATGTTCTGCAGTATAATATTTTCTTGTTGAAATAGTCCTATGTCTAAAATAAAACGAATGTTTAACTAACATAAGTTTCACAATAACGATGAATAATAATATTGTGTTGCAATTCTAATGAAAAAATGTCAATATAACGGTAGTATTTTCATAAATATTTACTTAAAGAGCCTGTAATGCAAATTAGCTTATAAGTTATAACTAAGGAGGATATCTTTGTGATTCACTTGAAATTAAAATATATTATTATAATCATATTAATTACAATAATTTTACATAGATAATAACGTATGAATTATGTTAAATTAAATAATAATTAAAATAAAGAAGATCTATAGCTTAAGGTTTCCAACTTTTTATACATTGTTGTTGATATATTTCGACTAAATTTGTGACTTTTGTTCTCAGATTAAACTGGATATAGTGTGTTCTTTAAATATGAAATGATAATACATGTATACCTAATATTGTTAATTGCTGCTGAGAGACATTTGTTAAATAATAATATTTATTCTATACTTACCTAAAAACATTTTTAATTTAAAAAAAAGAAAAATCTTACGTAAGGTACTTTTGAATATCTTATGAATTATAAGATCATTAAGATCGAGTTTACAGAGGGATTATTTTAACAGAAAATATTTAATAATTCAAATATATCGATTTTTTTTTTCATTTGAAAAATCTAAAACCTGTGCAATTCCAAATTTAATATTGTTATTAATTTTTTTATTATGGTATCAATTTTTGATTTTTAAACAAAAATCGAAATGTGTCGTATTTCTGAATATTTAAAAAAAATTATGATTTATAAATTAAATATAGCTTTTGATAAACGAGAATTTCAAGTTTAGATTAGAAGAGTGAAGTGGCAAGGGGTACCTCGTGAAATGTGTGGTACACCACTCAGCTTATCTATAAACTTGAAATGATTACTAAAAAAGAACTATTCGTTCAATGTTTAATATTTGTATTATTCATGTGTCAACAGTTTTCGAAAAAGTCTCGTGTTGTAGATTACGTATATGGAAATATTAAATTAAAACATTTATGTCAGGTGCTTGGGTAGGTGGCCATCTGAAAATTAAAAGCTGACATTTAACGCTTTTCGAAATAATATGAGTGTTTATTGCTGTTATAAAATAATCATCCCGTAGTAAATACAATCTATACTTGTGCTAGTGACTAATAATATACATACCGTGCACACTGCACATATAAGGAAACATAAATAACGAGTACGTAACATTTTATAAAAATTGTTTTGAAATTGTGCAATCGAATTTAATATAGTAATTTTTTTTCATATAATCAGTGCAGCTAGGTATATATATATATACTGTATTGTACGGATGTCTGAATACAACTTTTCGACGACGGATGAGACGATTGCCTCAGTGTTTACAACCATTTTTTGTATTACATTTAAATTTAAATTACATTAAGTTTTATTAATTACCACGAGCAATAGGGCTAATGGTTGTAGATAATTTTAATAATATTTTTAGTTTATCTCATTATAATAATTTTATTATCAACAGTAAATAGTTATACCTATTTATACTGTAATATTATGTTTGTCGTTCAGTGCACTAAGTAATATTGATTGTACTTTCTGCACACGTTGTAAAATTATGAAATAGGAATCATGTCCGTACATTGAAATAAATAAATTTAAAAAGTATACTTTTCTTCCAATAACAATTATAAGACTTAAATCACATGCGTTAATTATACTTAACATATTAATACAGTTTGAAGAAGTATAAAAAAAGCTTATCGTATATAAATATATTATTCGTAAAACGATTGCGCAAACTAATACGCAAAAAGTTTGTACTGATAATTATTGATAAATGATTGATCGTATAACATTTATCTATTTGCTCAGCTATAGGTACCGAATTCATTGTGCTATAACCGCATTTACTGTATAATAAGTTGAAACTGGTAGTTAAGCAACTGGTCAAGCGTGGTGACATTAGGTTAGGTTAGGCTAGGAACCTAGAATTGTATACAATAGTCGTATAATAGTGAGTCGTTAAGTTATTGAATTGTGTTTCGATTTATCGATTCTGATAGTGACTTTTAGGGGCGTCGAAAGCATTCTACAGTGTTCATAATAACAATCTTCTCCAAAATAATAAAACAGGGCTATCACCCTCGCATAGTTTAACAAATAATGAATCAAAAATTGTATTATTGTACTCATTCATTCAAAATATTTGTCTTTAATTTCACATGTAATATGTCATACCAGTTACCACGATAATAAAAATGCGTGGTCATGAATATTATTCATTATATATGTTAACAATCGATATATAACATAATCGTACATTATACAGCTTAGTGTTTATTTATTAATATAAAAACATTTGACATTTTACAATATTATACTTGCACAAAAACACAATAAATATCGTGTACACACACATATTTTAAATATACCTACTACAAGTGTGTTATTTTGTTGTATTAATGATTTTTATTTTCAGTTAATAAAACAGTCTGCTCCCACGGACTGAAAATCGTTTACGACGCCTCTGCCGTCTTCGTTCAGATACAATAACTATGTAAGTTACCATAATTTTAAATATATTATCTCATCCCTTTCCAACAAGCAACATATATATTATATACTATAACAACACACGTTTCGTGAAACTTGACGTTCTTACCGATGATAGCATGTGGTGTATTTAAAGCCGTTTCCCACACTAATATTTATTAAAATGTATTCATAAGTCTTGGGTTATAATAATATATTAATATAGTAAGATAAACTTAAACTGTCAGTTTACACTATATAATATAATATTTAATAATATCGCAATATATACATGCATATATTACATACACATGTTTAACGGTAATAATCATTGCTCAACCAATACAAATAATAATGTAAAATATGTGTTTTCTGAGGTAGTGTAGTATAACAGCACAGATTAAACAAAACTTATTATTTAATCTGTGATAATAGTAGACAACGTATTCTGAATAAAAGATGTTCGAAGTTAATTATATGTATATACATTGTATAACATAATCGTGGAAATTGTCATAATAGACTACAGACCTCTTGTCTGCGGAGTGTCGCAATTATTGTTTATCATAACCAAACGCGGAAACATACGATTGTCAAAATAAATTTTAGTCGTTGTTCGTGATCCGACAGAAAATAATAAAGGTAGGTCTCCCGAAAAATTAACGTTTTGAGTCTTGAGTGTTAATCAAACCAACTCGACAATTGCGTAGTATATTATATACGACAAGTGAAATAGATATACAGTCAACCATAAAAGAAACACAATTAATACAACGATCTACAGAATAACAAAAAATTATAGGGCATTATATTATACAGGGTGATTCACCCAGGCATAATCACCACCATTTTTTCCTCCAATAAAGAATTTGTTCAAGAACAAGGTTTTTTAGAACCTCCTAACCTCACCTAATGTCAGAACCTTTCCTGAATCCTGCAATTACTTTTAATTATTTCTTAATTCTTGATCGGACAACACTTTTATAATTTAATGTGACATACCACATACCACAAACTGTATACCAAATTTCTAAGAAGAACCAAAATGTTCACCTCGGGCTATAGACGACTCGACACTGGTATTGCGTCCCTATATTGAAAGCAGTATTTATTTATTATATTATTTACTATAATAGTGCGGTAGAAATAAAGAATCTTCGGGTCGTTAATATTTTGCTGAAACCTACTACTATCTCTCGTGAAATCTTTACGACGAAAATGTAATATTTTACACATATAAGCATACAGCATTAATATTAAAGGTACATCATGTATTTTACACATAACAATCGGGCGTTAAAAATATTTACGAATATGCCATAAAACTTGTCATTAAAGGCCTGAGCGTGTATTGCGTAGGTACATATATTGCGACCTTTAAACATCATATGAATATAATATTAATATATAATGAGACATAGGTAAACTATACCATATTATGGATTCGAACTACAGTTGTAAAGATTTGTCAGCACGATTGTCAAGGTCGGTCAGCGGTAAAGGGTAAAATATAAGGGTCCTTTTTTTAACATTTTGTCTCATTTCTATTTATTTGATTATTTTTCAAAAATTTCATTTTCCTTATTACCATTTAGGTTTTCTAATCATGTTCAACTATATAGGTACTTCATTATATTTTCGTATAAAATATATAGTCCAAAATATTTAAAAATCAATCTTTCTACATGACGCGTTGTTTTAAGTAATGATTTTGATGTATTTCTATATTATAGGTACTTAGTAATTTGTGATTTAACAACTCAATTAGTAGTTACACAAAAAAGTCATCGAGCGTTTTTTTAAGTGATACACAAAGTGATATTTCTTAACTAACATCCACTTTTTTATCATTTCAGTAACTTAACATCGTCTGAAAATAAAATTCATAAGTACTTTTTTCAAAATTATTCATCAAAAACATTGATTGTTTTGACAATGAAAATATTTTAATTTACAAGATATAAAATTGTAAAAGGAAAAAATTTATAAATCTTAATACCCATACAAAATCAAAATTAAATTGTAGGTATATACATAATATATATAGCAGCTATAGCTTGTATTTGGTAATGACGATATAGTGATCATTATGATGATCATTATAATGATTATATTATGAGGAATATATATTTTTTCGTTGGGTGGAGAGTATATTTCGAATGTTAGGACATTAGAAGATTATAATTCTGGATCTGGGTGATAGCCGATAGGTTGAAGCGAGTGTAGATTTAATTTGACCTGGGGTTTTTGACAGAGAAGGCAGATGTTGCTGAGGGAGCAATGAAATTAGATAACTTTTGATTAGTTAGTCAAGAAAACGTGATAAACTGGTGGCAAGACTTGGCAAGACTGTAATAACGGCAAAAGGTAAGTAATGACTAGTAAGTTCATACTTCAAAAGGCAATACTTAATATTTTCCATAAATACTTACATAATTCAAACACATAAATATTCAATACATAAAATGGAAAGCGGCAACATAAACTTAAACGTTTTTTTTCGCTTTCACTCGAAATTATAATATAAAAAGAGACTTTTGGGTATCGTAAGTCAATCCCCACTATTTTAGGGATTTATCATTTTGTATCATTTAACTCAATGTAAGTTATGATCCCGAATCATATTTTATATTATATAATTAGTTTACTATAATAAATAATATATTATACATTAAATGTGGATTATTTTAAACAAAACACCACACACACACATATTATTTGTTAAAAAATAATACATTTTTATATTCATTAATACCATCTATTTGACGCAGTGAGTTATCGAGTTTTTGTGGTCGCATAACGTACACACTACTATAGTAGGACATCAACCAAACCTAAACATCCTTTGATGTTCGTCAGCATGTGAATAGATAAATTAACATTTATCAACAACGTTCGATCTTAACCAAATGTGATAAGTACATTGTAAAATAAAATCGGTTGTACTTGTGCATTAGAGTTGTTACATTAACACCAAAATGTGAATGTGAATCCGGTTTTATACTATTGACGGTGTTATTACTTATCTGCACGCGGCACGCATCGACTATAGACGTGATGTAAATAATTATAAACTTCCAAATGTCATAATTTCGAGACTGAGGCCAATTTTTAACTTCAACATCGTTTTTAGAACACTTAACTATATGAGTTAGAACAAAAAAATTGCATTAGATATATAGCGTTCGTTAAAGTATGAATAAATACCAAATTTGAATTTCGTTGTTTATGAGTACATGCGTACTGCAATTTACATTACTGTATAGTTTCGTATAGTAACACAAACTTCTGACCGACTTCACGTCACCGGCCGCGAGTGGGTAAATATTTTACTATTATGAGCAGCATCCACGACGAAATTTCGGTGAAAAGAGTCTTGAACATGCCTCCATATCACCTCCGACTCGACAAAATGCGTCTCCTGTTTCCCGAAGATTATGATTAGATATGCGCCAGGAAGCTAGTAAAGGTAAGATGCACATTAGTCACCTATAATAATGTTATTTACAGGTTCCTTGTAGGAATAATGAACAGTGTATGTGACTTCAAAATTTTTTTTAGAATTTATTGAATTCCCATATAAGGTGTGTAATTTTGGAAAATCTAAGTCAAAATACTATAGGTAAAACCATTTACTTACGAAAAACGATTTTAAGCGAAGACGATATATACGCATATATTTCTATGTTTATTTTATGATTTTACTGCTATTCAAGTTTTTTATTACAGAAAAGATTGCATTTGAAAATATCATTATGTGTTCCTATAAAATATAATATATTAAAATTTAAAAGTTTTAAGTACTAATCACTAATATTCTTCGTTTAAATATCTAATTTCATATTTTCATCCAAATTTAAACTAAAAAAAATATCTGTAAAATACTGTTTATAAATAAACATTTTATTTTTTTGGGTTACAGCATGAACTACTTGAGAGAAACCTCGTATATACATGTATATAAGATCTTAATAACAAAATTATTTAGAAATTTTTGTGAATTTGAAAAAATTTGAACTTCAAATGCTTTTAAAAAAAATTGTGCATGTGTATAATTTTAAAATACTTATTATAATAAGTTATGAAGTATCTTTAAATGTAAAATTGTTAATGCATCATACATTTTTTCAGTTATTAAGTAACCACGACAACAAAAATCGTATTCAAAATCTGTCGGAAAAACAAAAAAGGTGTTTTTGAACACCCAAATTTAATATCCAACACAGGTTAAAACTATCATCAAATCATAATAACAATACATTTCATGCAACCAGTAAAAACCATTTTTACGAGTATATATAAAAATATACTAATTTCTATAGTTACTATTATAATCTGTAACCAATGGCAACCTTTCATAAACAAGAAAACATTTTCGGTTTTCAACGAGAATTTTAATATCCTTGTATATAATCTCTTTAAAATGCACATTTTGGAAAATTCTTTCTGGTTTCCTCATAGTGGAAGGAACTAGAAAGATACTGTACAAATGCAAAGTTCCTAGTTATCATAGTTTAGGCTCAATGTTTATCAGTCAGTCAGTCTGAACAAGTTCGATTTATGTATACTTATAGATTACAAATAATGTATATTTATACAATATACAGGATGTTTTTTAAAGGTAAACATTTATTTTCTCAAAAAGCAATGAAGTTTATGGAACTATTTTTTATTTATATAATCTTGTTGCCTAGTTTATGTTGTTTCATAATGACTTCAAATTAAATAGAAAAAATACTTCCAAAACCGTTAATATCTTTTTAGAAAATGAATGTTTACATTTGAAAAATCACTCTGTATAGTAATAATAATAACAATATCACGACCGAACGGGTGGGCTAAATAAAAAACATAAACTGCGTCGCAGACTGCCGCGGTGGGAATAATTGCGTTTTGAAACACGTCACGGGCCAAAAATCCTCGGCTAAGTTTAGCCACGGCATTCCGAAAATAAATGTGGGATCGAGCTATAGGTACAGTGTATACAGCAATCGAGTACCGTTTGTGTGACATATCGTTGGCGCGTACAATATACTCATACCCAGGTTCTGTTCCGTGTGAGTTCCGGTAAGGTCCGCAAGTCGTATGTGACACCACGCTTGCTTTTCCGAGCACTATACGCGTTACCACTAACCTACGAGTTACGAAAATCATAATAATTTAATCACTGTCATATTTCAAATCGCTTCAGTGTTTCCGACTACAGTGTTATCCTCATTATTGTTCGATCACAATTTATATCAAGACCTAATATCACTATCATCTATCACGGTTGCAGTCGACTCGGGGACGTGTTTATAGCATTTTCGCTCGCCCCCTGGCACACAGCTGCGGTCAATGCCACTGTACTAAATGTCAATATATTGGTACACTCTACACTTACAACCTACAGTACGACCGAGGTAGAGATTGATCGTTCAATTTTGTATGCGATAAATTATAAAATCAACTGCAACCATAACATTTAGTAGTAGATTTATTTTTGTCGAATCGATATCTTTTACACTCGTCTGCGAGCCACGATATAAACTTTTCAAAACGGAAATTTCGTGATCACCGACATCGTCTTCATATTTTGTGATGGGAGGAAATAGCAAGAAGAAGAAATAAAATCAACTGTGCAGCGTGTCTGAGACTAAAGTTCTACACAAGCCAGAGTATTACAGAAAACTGCAAGTAAGTGATTTTTGGTGTGGGACGGATTCTTTGTTTTAAAAAAAAAAAATATTAATTCACCTAAATATTATATTACGAAAATGATAAACAGTTATAGTTACATTTATAGTTGTCATATGTTTAGCTCTGTATGCCATGTCGCAATTACGTTTTCATTACAGGGTATTATCAAAATATTACCCTTTGTTCGGTAGGGAAATATAATTAAATACGTGGTCGTATTCGTTGTCGATAGTATAAACTCGAATCCTGCAGTGGGCTTAGAATTTTTTCACTCTGCGAGTGTACGAAAAGTATTTTTAATTTCCTTGAAGTTTGATTCTTTCTGATTTGTAAATGATTTATATATGATTCATAAAAAATATAAAAACTTATTTGTATTCTCTCATAAGTAAGCTATATACGATTTTTAATTTTCACTAAGCATTAAAATCGAACTCTTTAATATTAGGTATACGAATGAAGAACAACTAGAAGAAAAAATCCACATATTTTTAATTTTATACGCTAGATGAAAATTTTAAGTTAATAGGTTGTGTACTTGTGTTTAAGTTTTCAACTTTTATTGGGAATAACATTTTTTGGGGATGTGTAATGGGAAAAAATTCAGTTGGTTTTATTAGGTAATTTCATTTGTTTAATAATATGTAATGTCCTATATTATAATAATATTATTATTATATGTATATTACCAATTACCATCAGTAGTGTCACGAATATTTTATCCGTAAGGGCAAACATTTAAACTACTTCCCCACCCACCGACCCATAGACGCATACATACATTCTACATACAATAAAAACCTGCCTATGTATGATTCATTTTTTTATTATAAAATAAATACAGATATTATTTTATAATATCAACTATAACATTCATGTAACAGTTTATTATATTATTTTTTGTTGTTTTATTACTTAACTTTTAACTTTCAATAGTATAAATACCCTACCTACGCATAGAATAAAATATTATCTTTCCAGTTCCCCTGGCATACAACAATACAGCACGTTTTGTTACATATTAAATTAGCTGAATCCTAGAGTAAGTCAGTAAAATATACCTACCAACATAATAATCATTCAATAATGATAATGAAATATAAAAATATTTTTACAAAATAAGTAATTACCCGCCCATCCAAAATTGTTTGGGGCAACTGTCTCCAAAAAAGTATGTTCGTGAAACCACTGATTATTGTAAACGATTACAACTTAACGAATGGCTTTTGGATATAGTTAAATTGATCGTATTTATGATTGTCGGATAGATCACATTGCTTTGCCGTGAGTAGGTACTTTAAAATAATAGTAAACACCGAAATTATACGTCATTGGGCGGGTCAAGTTTTTGGTCAAGTTTTCGTAAAGTTCTAAGATTTTGATTTCGTCTCGATTCGCGTTATTTTTTCCCCGCGGTTCCCTGTTGTGGACCTAAACCGCACACGACTTAAAGCCTATAAATACCTTAACCTACACAATATTATTATTTAATACTCGAGGCATATAGGTACTCGAAAATAAAATACCATTCGATGATAACTGTCTCGAGAGGTGTCCCGTGATAGTGCTCATCACCTGTTGCGGCGGCGCTTTGTGGCGAGGTGAAGGCGTGGTGTACGTGTGCGTATTATATGCTTATACATGTATGCATGTGTGTATGTGTGTGTGTGCAAGTGTGTATTACTCACTGCGAACCGCGCGCGCGATACAACGCGTTTGTCATTGTCGAGGCTGATGGACGGACAAACCGGTGGCAGTTTATACCGGGCTTTCGACGAAACCGGTTAATCCGACGAATTCGCGTGCAAGTCTCCCGGCACTTTGAACTTGCCACTCATACACATCACTTGCCACTGGTACGCGTCATTCGTCTTATATTATCGACCCGCTGCCGCAGCAGCAGCAGCAACTCCTATCGTTCTGTCCGCTTTATATCAACCCCGTGGCACGTCGTAT